CCATTTTATAACTCTTATTAGTATAAAGAACATAGTGAGTCTTAAGGATCATAAAACATTTGCCCATTAAAAAAAAAGCTAAGATCCTAAAAAAACAAAAACAAAAACAAAAACAAAAACAAAAACAAAAAAACACAACTTATAGTAGAAAAATTGAATTTTTTATTTTGAGACCCTAAAATAATCTAGTATCTTTAATCTCCTAAATCCTTCATAACAGTGATTCTAAAAATGGTGGTGAGGCGGGTGGGGGGTATTGGGCACTTATGGACCCTCCATTTAATCTTTGCAATCAGGGCTTCCTCAAACCACACAGCCAGCCTCCAACTCTCCCCCACAATCCCTACATGTAATGACAAATGTTTCTCAAAGTCACATATTCCATATTTGAAAAGCATGAAAGTAGAAAATACATGGAGAGTCATTACACATATACAGAATACTAGCAATAACTTTAGACAATAATACATATATATGTACAATACTCAAGTTTGCTTTTAGTAGAAAAATACCAATACAGTAAGCATCTCAACAGAGGACCTGACTTCAATCCCAGCTGTCACTAGCCCTCTAACTAAGTCCTTCATTGATCGCTTCATAGCTGGAGCGCCACACTTACAAAGAGAAATGATTTTCAAGTTTCCTTCCAGCTCTACAGGAAATCCTAAGGATTCCACCTTTTCCAAACTAGAATTACAAGCAGGAGAAATTATATCCTAAAATATTTAGTATTTAAAATAGAAATCCAGGGGTGCCTGGGTGGCTCAGTCGGATAAGCGTCTGCCTTCAGCTCAGGTCATGATCCCAGGGTCCCGGGATCGAGCCCCACCTCGGGTTCCCTGCTCAGCAGGGAGTCTGCTTCTCCCTCTGCCCCTCACACCGCTCATGCTCTCACTCTCAAATAAATAAAATCTTTAAAAATAAAATAAAATAGAAATCTGTACTTAAATGTGAGTTGATGGATATGTTAACTAGATTGGAGGAATCCTTTGACAACATATACATTCATCAAATCATCATGATGTACACTTTAAATATGGTACAATTTTATTTATCAATTGTACCTCAATAAAATGGAACAAATAAAATAAAAATTTGATTTAAAAATGGGGAAAAAAGACACCTTAAACCACATAATAAATTCCTCCTATCGCCTTGAAGTTGTGGTTGTAGGACTCTTGATATTTACACATGGACTATGTTAAAAGATCAAAATCTGGTCATGTTAACTCATTTCTTTCTACTTGAAGTTCTGTTCAAAACAACAAAGGGTTGCCAGAGGCAGGGAGTGGGGGAAATGGGTGAAAGTAGTCAAAACATAAAAGCTTCCAGTTATAAGTTCTGAGGATGTAGTGTACAGCATGGTAACTGTAGTTAACAATACTGCATTGTGTATTTGAAAGTTGCTGAAATATTAGATCTTAAAAGTTCTTGGGCGCCTAGGTGGCTCAGTCAGTTAAGCATCTGCCTTCGGCTAGGGTCATGATCGAGCCCCACATCAGGCTCCCAGCTCAGCGGAGAGTCTGCTTCTCTCTCTGCCCTTCACCCTGCTTGTGCTCTCTCTAGCTCTCTCTCTCTCAAATAAATAAATAAATAAATCATTAAAAAAAAAGTTCTTATCACAAGAAAAAATTTATAACTTGATGTGATTGATGTTAACTAAACTTACTGTGGTAATCATTTTGCAATACATACATATATCAAATCATTATATGTAAACCTTGGACTAATAAAGATATATGTCAATTATATCTCAATAAGACTGGGAAAAAATGGCAAAGGGCTGAACACTAAACACTGTCTTAAACTTGTTTCCTTAATCAAATATAATCATAAATTAAATTGAATGAAAACTTCAATATTTAAAAATAAATCTTTCAAAGATGATGATATTACAAACACATCTTCATATTTTAGCTTCATTCCAGTGTCTCAAATAAAAGTCAAAGAATATGCGAATCTTACCAACATGGCCTCCTCCAATGGTGTAGGTCTTCCCGGATCCAGTTTGTCCATAGGCAAAAACAGTTGCATTATAGCCCTCAATGAGTGACAACACTAGTGGTTTTATACATGTATTATAAACTTCATCTTGAGTGGAATTTTTGCCAAAAACAAAATCAAAAGTAAAGACTCTATCTCTCCCAATGACAATTTGCTGGGTGTTTGGAATAACTCTCACACAAGCTTGATGATTATGAAGAACTTCTTTGCACAGCAGAGGTCGGATTCTTACAGCAACTTTTACTGGTATTTCTTCCATAGCAGCTTAGATTTTTACTAAATAACTTTCTACTTAATATTCAGTATCTAGTGTGAGAAATATCCATTTTATGTAAGATCTGGACTCCTGTGTATCAAAATAAAAACAAAACTTAATTATGGACTTCTTTATCCTAATAAACTAAGCATCTTCTAAAACAAAGTCAATTAAAGCAGGTTTTGTTCCATTGAGAGATAGTTACAACAAGTAAATCTGTCTTATAAAAATATACCTATAATTTACAGATGATATGAAATGGCTGGATTTGCTACAAAACAATCTAAGGGGTAGGTGCCATGAGTTGGCAAATGATGAAGCTAAGAGATAAGTGCATAGGATTCCATCATGCCATTCTTTCTGCAGCAGTAATATGTTTCCCAGTTCACTAATCTAAATATTGAATAACTGGGGAGTTAGAAAATTAAGGCAAGGAAATAACTGAGTAATTGTACACATGTGTTGAAAGCAAACCCTTTATTAGATTTTATAGCTATATCTCTTTGCCACAAATATTAGAGATAAATCCAAGAAAACAGTTTTAAGGATTTCTATAATTTTATTTATTTTTTTTTAAAGACTTTATTTATTTATTTGAGAGAGAGAGAATGAGAGAGAGCACATGAGAGTGGGGAGGGTCAGAGGGAGAAGCA